ATTTTGGATGTTCTTTTCTAAATATTCAAGATAAATTTGACCTATTTGCTTCAAATCAGAAAAAGTTTAAGACAAATAATTTTCTTGTTAATTAAATATTCAATGCCAGAAAAATCACTTTTTATTAGTGCAGAAAGGTCAAATAATTGATTATGCGAAGGAATTTGAAACTTTTTCTTAGTCACAATTTTTAAGTGTCCTTTTTAAAACAAACTAAGAGTTCATTTTGTTTCATGCTATAATTGGATAAAAATATTGGAAGGAAAACGTCAAAAAATTAATTTTTAACTAAGACACAAATTTCAGTGCAATAAGGTCATATTTAATGTACTATAGCGCGCCAAAAGAAGCGCATTTACCCCCATTTTTTGATTTGAATTTTAATTAAGCTATGTACGTAGAAACTAAAAATATACTTGGCAAAAAAAGTTTAAGACTTTAGATATCAGGATCGAACGTCGTTAAAACTAGTATCAACTGCTAAAAAGTTATAGCCAAGGTTCTTATTTTTTTTTAAAGTATATCACAGGAGTCTGAAATTTTTATCGTCAAAAAAAAAAAAAAAAAAAAAAATCCGGACGATAAAAACTTCAGACTCCTGTGAGTATACAGGCCAAACTCTACGGTCAAAATTGTTGGTATTCAAAGGAGAACTTTATGAAAATGTTCTAAAAATGGGTAAAACTCAAAGTTTATGGTCAGAAATATTTATTTCCAGGCTTTTTAACATCATTGACAGCTCCTTATTCAATGAAAATGGAACTCGTAAATTTACATACATTTACTTTGTCGTTGGTTATTTGCAAAATTATTTTGTTAACAAACATTCTCATTGTACACACTTGTAAGTACTTTGACGTCAATATTAAAATTACGCTTGAGTCATGGTTGACAAAATCCATGTGGTTTTTTGGGACCAGATCTTCTAACAATCTTTCGGAAATCCCATGGGTACCAATTGCGCCCTGTTATTAGCAGAACTTAGACACTGGTGTTGGAGGTCCGTATTTGCTCTGCTCCTATTTTGTATTGTTTTATAGAATTTTGATCTAGAATAGTGTTATTTCCATGTTTCATACATAAAGGGCGCATTATCAAGCTAACACTAATGTGAGTAGTACGTGACCTACATGTATTTTGTACACATTAATTAAATAACTACATGATTGTATATCCACGTTTGCTACAGCTCTTCTTCAAAACGTGCATTGTTTAATGGACTTTTGAGCTTGAATACTGTTTGTTAAGCTATATATATATTTCATTTCATTTATGTCTTGTCATAATAAATACACATGTAAGGTATGAAAACCCTAGGAGTGGCACCAACCAGTTGAAAGTTATGACCAATGTTGGTCAAGCTCCAAGCTCAAGGCCAATAGATCAAATATGTTGGTATCCAAAAAACATCCATAGATTCAATCCATTAAAAGTTATGGCCGGGTAAGGTTAACGTTTTGCGGACAAACACATAAATAGACGGACAGATAGACGGACAGGACATATACACTCAAGTAATCGTAGAACAAGTGACAACGTACTCTTGTTCGTATGTAGCATGTTTATTCAATGGCGGATTCAGGGGGGGGGGGGTTGGGGGGGGGGTTGGGACCCCCCCCCCCGCTCATTGAATTTTTTTTTTTACAAGTGTCTTTTCATTATTTTGTTGCATTGATAAGACTCTAATAAACATGAACCCTTTGTTTTTACAACTGTGAAATATACTACGTAACAGGAAATCACTTTCCGCTTGAACGCACACAATACACAGGTAATCAACACAGAGAGTGCCTCAGAGATCGGGTAGTCCGTGCATGTAGTGAAGACACAAGGTCACATTACAATGTAGTCAGGTACCAACAACAGAAAACTGCATAGTTACGGTGCTGCTCAGTAATATTCTTTTGCTGATAAAATGCATGTTTTTTAAACTATGAATAAACTAATATTTAGCCGTTTTACCGTTTTAAAAATTAAGAATTAATATATTTTTCTTAACAGGTTGGCTCTAGTTTTGACAGATTCTCCAGTTTATGTAATTTTTTCTTCAGTTTGAAATTTCATTAATTGAACACGTGTGTTTATATTCCAAATCATATTAACAGTATATACACAAGTAAGTTGAAAAGCACTAGTTTCGGATTCTGGAAATAATTCAATTTTTAATTTTTTAGTGTTTAAAAATTTTGCACATTAGTTGTATCTTGGAAGTCAGCTTGACATCGGACTAAATTAATTGTAGGTGCATTTAAAGTAAAGACAACCTGAGGTCAACTGCTTGCATTCCTAAAATTGGCAGATTTAACAATTTTTTAAAGCAAAGTGTAAAGTCTTGTGTTAAAGGTAAATTAAATTGAAAACATTTTATTACAAAATTGTGATGATCAGTCTTTAAAAAAGCTACAAAAAGTACCCCCCAAAATGCTGGGAAATGCACCATTTAGAACCATTTAAAACAAAATTTTCTCGAACCCCCACCTACGGGAGGGGATACCCCCTCCCATGCCCTCCCCCTTCAGCCCTTTGGGCCTCAACCCCCCCCCCCCCCACATGAACTTCTGGATCCGCCACTGTTATTTTTTTTTAATTGGTGGGTAAGGGGTAATAAAATTATTGGGGTTTGTTTGCCTCAACCCGACAAATCTATTCGATTGATTTGACACGAGGATGGACTCAATATTTTCCCGGGAAAATTAAGTTTCTCCGTTTTACCTTCAGAACATACAAGTCGTGTATCAACTTCCGGGTTGAAATTCTAAATAGCCCATAACTTGTTATTTGACTAAAATTTGGTTACTAATGATTTGATTGAAATATTTACCACTATTATAAATTCAAGAAGCACTATGTGCCAAAACTTACAATTGTTTTGTGCAGTAATAAGGATTTACATCTATTCGGTAAGGTCCTTTTCATTAACCAGTGTTATTTAACTAGCCTATATATCCATAGATAAAACTTAATTTTTCAACATTAAAAAAAAGTATGTATAAAGTAGAAATCAATTGTTCATATTTATTTTCATGGTTTACTTTCTCACAGGAGTGACTTATCAAGAAGAAAGAACACTTTGACAATAAATGAAAAATATGACTGCACATTTGATTTACAGGTCCAGCACAATACCCTGATAAAGCTATATAGCTTGATCAAGGTATTACAAATACCTTGAGCAATTCAATTGATAAATTCACTCATGCATGTAATTTTAGTACGCCAACACGAAGAATTCAGTATAAAACCATGTCGTGTGAGGAGACATTCTTTTCAGTTAGAATAATCTAACTGTGTCTCGGGACAAGCCCTCACCACAATTAGAATACCTCCCCTATACTTGCAATGTAGCAAATAATTGCAGAATTGCTCCAAAATGATTTTGAAGGATACAAAAGGATTTGAACTGAAAATAACTTCCAAATTAATTGTAACAAACCTTTTTGAGATTGTTTATGCCTTTTATCTCAAAAAATAATCCATAAAAAGATGAAAATTTAACTAATATTCTCAACGATTTTTCTCGCTTCAAATTTACCTCACCCCAGCAGCAGCCATGTTTACATTCGGAACTCTCGGGATTGTTCATAGTAAATACACTGAGTACAAGTTATCGCCTGTGTTTATTTTGCTACATTGTGAACACACGGAATGAATTCTATCGTTAAACCAGGTCGGTAGGACATTTATCATTTTAACGATAGAACATTCTATCTACGTTCTTTTATGCTGTCTTTTTGATACCTGAGTATTTTACATGCATGAGTGAATTTACTGACAACTCAGAACTCGACTTTGAATTTTCTCTTCACCCAGGGGTTGCTTTAATTTAGTTAAAGAGCTTGCAGTAATGAGTGGCCGTTTGTGCCGCTTGCTGCGCTCACTATTAATTAACAGTAACAGGAGAAGAACCACTAGCAACCTCAGTTTGACTAAGTTCAGGCTAAGCTTCCTCTCTTTCAACTCTGAGGTTACAGCTAGAAAAAGAAACATTGATTTTGAAGTTGGAGACTGTTGGAATGAAATTTAAACAAAGAAACAAAACATTTATTTTTATAATTTAAACATGATTTTTTAAAGAAAAGTTCATATCATATTTGTCTTTTATACCCCATGATGAAGGGACTTTTTCCTCAATAAACATCAAGCATGATATACATTTGAAGAAAACTGTCTGGGGTGATCCCACTCAGGATAAACAGGGAAACGGCGCAAAATCACTCAGACAAGTGCTTGGGGTGAACCACCCGAAGTTTTATCTGTTCTCGTATTTCATTTTATTCAAACATTATTCATTTACCACACAAGACCTTCTCAAGTTTGTTGATGAAAATGGCAAGGCAGACGACATCCTGTGAAATTTTTACATCACTAACAAATGAGAGCCACCAAGACAACCATTCAAACTTTAAATCGATGAAATTTATCTCAAGTACATGTATCACAGGGTCAAATTCACAAATTTGCTTCTGTTACTACCAATTTCATCCAGACTTTCCACAAAGCATCTTCACAAAGCATTGTAGTGGTTTTTTTTTCAAAGACATATTCAAAAATTGTGAAATTCTAAAAAAAAAAAAAAAAAAGGGAGATCTGAATTAGTACTAAAGTGTTGATAGAGTCCATGTATGCTAGATTCAATTGAAAAAAAAGACTATACACATTAAAAATATGGACCTAAAAGTATGAGTGTATATCTTTTGTAAACTTTGCATACATATAAGATGAAATGGGTATTATTTTGTTTACATCTATAAGAGTGTGATAATCAATGCCTGTGTCCCTGTTTTTGTAGTTCTTTAGGAGGATGTGTGGCCAGGATCCTCCAGCAGCAAAGCCTAACTTTACAGTTCTGTGTCTTGGTTTGTCTAAGACAGGGAAAAGTACCTTGTTGTCAGTTTTAAGTGGGGAAAGCACAGAAAATATTGAACCAACTGTGGGTATGTATTCTTATTAGTTTATTAATTAATTTTTTTTTTTTTAGAATTTATCTGTACCTGTTTTATAAAAATTGTTGTTTCTGCTGTATTTTTTAAGCCTTTTTTTTTAATTGACAGGTTTCAGTATAAAAGCCTTGATATTTAGTAATTGTATTGTTGATGTCAAAGAACTAGGAGGTAAGGCTTCCTTGAAATGGTATACTGTTAAATAGGTATTTTTGTGGTCCATTTTTGCCGAATGAAGCAGAAAGGACAAATCCACAAAAATTACGATTGCAAAGTATTCTCTAAATATAAATCACTGATATTGTCATATAATTGCATTATCTTTTTTCCAAACCATTAAATTAAGAGTAGATTAATACATGTATCTATTTTAGCAATCTGATTTGATATTTTATTACTGCATACTGTAGTTAATATAATAAAAACACAAAGGTCTGAAATAAACTCAAAAGTCCTTAAACTTTGCAACATAATTTTACATCATAACCCATTATCCTTAAGAAGGACTCCTCCTATTTGTTAAATTGTTAATTTTCATAAGAGATTTCTTCTTCAAAGCTTTGATCTTCTCATGGTTAATTCACATTACAGGAGGAGACAGTGTACGCCCGTACTGGGATAAATACTTTGGGGGAGCAGAGGGCATCATATTTGTTGTAGATAGCTCTGCTAGTGATGAAGGTCTACAGCTGACCAACACTACCCTCCATCAAGCACTTGCTGACCCTGAACTTGATAATCTTCCTTTGATGGTGCTATGTAACTATAGTGACAAAGAAGGGGCCAAGTCCAAGGAAGAGGTACTCTTTTTTTAATACACAGTTGAAATCTATTATCTTGAGCACTGGCATTTCAAATACCATGGATATATCAAAGTGATCTGAAAGTCCCAACTACTTTTTCTTTATTTATTTACCCTTGTTATCTTCAACTTGAACCTAGGATTCTTGTAGGTTTTTTTCTGGCCCATTTAATTTGATATAATCAGGTTTAACTGTATATAATTAATTTTACATATACTGGTAAGTAAATAGTTACAGTTAAGGTCATATGCAACGTAGTTTGCGGAGTTGAAGAGTTCCACTAAAAGAAGGACCTGTATGCAATATTTGTAATGTCTATATATGGATTTGTACAACTTTTCTAAAACAATTTTTGATGAAAAAAATCTGGAATTTATGTTTTGTAATTTTTGTACATTTTTCTTTGAATAATGCTGATTTTTTTGTGTAAGAACATGTAATGATATTATAAGTTTAAATTTAGAATATCTTGAAAAATTATCAGTAGGTACCTTGCATTTGTCCTTAAGTATTTTTAGTTATTTGTTCCTTTGTGTTTATGTTTTAAAGCACTTGACCCTTAGGCATAAGTATAATTCCACTTTTTTAGTTGCAGAAAATCTTGGAATTGGATTTGGAATCTAAGAGTCGACACTGGGAAATCCATTCCTGTACCAGCTCAGATAGAGATAGCATCAGAGTGGCATTCGAGAGCTTCAACAAAAAGCTTTTAGAGTCCAAGAAAACAGAAGATGGATTTAACAAGATTTGAAAGGTTGTATAGGAATGATGATGTTGACAAGCTCATTAGTTATGTAAGATGAACATATTTTTAGCTTGATTCTACCTCTCAAGAGGTTAATTTATTTGCCTTCTCTTAAAGTAGTTGATTTAATCCAGTGGCAGCTTTCATTTGTATCTGATCTAGTTGTACAACATACATCATTGCGTCACATTGCCGGTATTTTCATGTTAAATGTGTATTTTTTTTGTATTGTTGGCTGTTGAGTGGGATTGAAGAATGTTTGTTTTTGAAGTGATCAAAAGTTTTCAAAACTAATACCATAAGAAAAGCTTCAAGTGCAGGTGTAATCTTTTTATGAGACGTGTATATTCATGTTGATGACCATTATTTTTTATTGTATGAGGTACATAATCTTTATAGATTTAGATGTTCATATATGAATGTGTTTGTTTGGAAAGAGATGTTTGCTTTGAACCTCTTACTGAAAATTATATTTATAACATCTGTCTACTTATTCTATTTTGATTTCTTTGTTCTAATATTTATAAAAAAGATGTCACATTTTGTGATTACTTGTATACTAAGTGAAATATATGGAATTTAACAGTCAGAGTTATTATTGGAAAGTCTGGAATATTATTGTTAGTACATGTATTACAGAAATAATTCTGAATTAATAATTCCTTAAACTATTAAACTAGAATGAAACATATTTTGTAATTTTTAAAATTTTAAAACTGGAAAAATGATTAAAATACAATAATACAATCAATAACATACAATTTGAAAAATGGGCGGAGGGAGGTTAATCTATGTTTTAAATATGTTTTGTCAACAATGAAACTATTTTGTTTCTGCACAGAAAGCAATTAACTTATATCCTAAACTCATTTTCAAAGATCTGCACATGAAATATTTAATTTTGTTATTCCTCAGCTGGAAGCTATGTGATCATTCTGTCTATTTTATTGTCTGTCCTTTGTTGTTGTTGTATACAGTTTTCTTTGTCAATTTCTACTCTGGAAACAATAAAAATATGACAGTTTAATTTAAATGTAAATATTTTTTTCTCTAGAACAACTTTGGATTAAAAAAAACATTGTAGTTTAGTTATAAAAAGTAAATTTATTAAGTTTGCTTATATGATGAAGTTAAGTTATGCATTAAAATTGTTAAAATAAATAACAACATTAACCTAAAAAAAGCAAGGTTGTACATGTAATTTATATTCTAGTATTCACAATATTTCACATTCAATGCCAATTCAAAGAACAAAGTTCACCTTGTACAACTTTTGGCCCTGTGAATTTCTGAAAAATCAGAACTACTCAGTTTTAGTTTAAAATATGTTAAATTTCACTTGGACCCTTACTGACTTCATATCAAATAAAAATGACGTAATTTTCTCTCTTGTCCATGTATTATGACGTCATGAATTTCGTCATTTTCTTCAAATCTTGAAAATTTCTTTAAAAGTGACCAAAAATTTAAGCTGTATGTGAATATTTTGCATAGCCCCCAACCTCTGATCTAAAATGTTCAATTATATTATGAAAGAACTGTTTCAGAAGATTCTAATCCATGAAAATTTTTTTTGGATCGCGGGGTGGGCTCATATTTTTATCGACAGTTGAAGATGCTCAATTTCACCCATTTTCTTCAAAAATCAAGAACATTGCAGTTTCAGAACGCCTGAGTTTCCAAACTTGGACACCTAGAGGAAAATTTTTTATATGAAATGAAAGCACTAAGTCTCTACTTTATGTTGATGTTCAAAATGGGACATTAGGATCTGGTCAGTTAATTGGTATATTGACAGGGCCATTTTATGGAGTTTGTGAACCTACCTCTTTGTTTGTCCTAGGGTTTTAAGATTTGGGGTTGGAGGTTACATTCAGGAAATGTTTGAAAATTTTGTTTTTAGTCCAATAAACTGAATAAAATTCAAAGATACAGTCTGTCATTAAACATTTACATTTTGATTTAACTTGCCATAATATTTTATGTGATATATGTAGTTTTAAAGCTTCTGATGTAGTTAATTTATCATCCGTCCAGAATATTTGTAGTTGATATTGAATTATTACAATAAAAAAGTAAGAGTTTCAGTTTGAAGTTGTGTTTTTATTCATGCAATAAATGACAAATCAGTGGCGGATCCAGAGGGGGGTTACAGGGGTTGCAACCCTCTCCTTTGGATTTGCAAAAAAAAAAAAAAAAAGAAAGAAGAAAGTCCAAAATTTTTATTGTGTTTTAGAAAATGATAAGTGAAAGGCTAATGTTGTAATATATAAAGAAATTCGGTTGTGAATACAAAATAAAACCCCACCCCCTTTGCTATGTAGGATTTTCGGGTTTGGAGATATATATTTTCCTTTCTTTTTCAAAAACTTTCAAGTAATTCATACAAGTACTTTTCCCCAGGTTGATCAGCCTCCAACTTTTGAAAACCATACTCCACCGTATCCTATTGAGTTATTTAACTACATGTTTGTGTAAAACATACGTTATAAGAGCTTTTTCCCCTCCCCCCCCCCCCCCCCTTGAAAAATCCTTTAACCCCCCTCCACCTTTTGAAAAATTTCTGGATCCGTGCCTGCAAATGAAGCAAGTATTTCAGAAATGTTAAATATAATGTAGATGAACATGTTCTGCTAATTATTTTTAAAAAAGAATGATATTTGGATACAACTGATTTTACTTACCGTATAATCCCTATTAACCGCCCCTGCCCCTATAAGCACCCCTTAGGTCTTTTTCAATTGTCAGGAAATAAGGGCCCCCTGTACATTGATTAAAATCAACTAGAATCGTATCAAAAAATTGAAGAAAGTGAAAATGAAACTTGTCTCTATCCAATTTCTCTGTGGAAAATGAATAATTTAGCATATTATGGGTGGATTGTCTTCACTTTGAGTAAAGTTAGGCATTATTTTAGTGGTTCCTTGTATTTATTTTTATTTTCAAAAGATTTCTTGAAGTTAAAATATGACATTAAATATCATAAAGAGAATACCAAAATAACCGCCCCCTTTTTGCAATTTTTAAGCGCCCGGGGCGGTTAATAGGGATTATACGATATGTCTTTACTTTGAAATTAGCACACCCAAAGTTTATTTTGAAATCTAGCTGCTCTCTTAAACAGCTAGCCTGGTAGCAAATCAAATATATATAGAGCCATTCTGGAATTGGCTTCATATTGTAGGAAGCAGAAATAGAACTGGAAGGGTTGCACCTCAAAGGCACTGCATTTTTGGACGATGTACATGAAATCACAGAATGCCAGATACTATATAGAAAAAGACAAATATGAATTTAGGACTCATTAATTAAAATACCTGTGGTATAGAAATTGAAAATTTGATGTATACAGAGACATATGGGGTAAATAAAATGTTATATATGTCTCTGCATTATGCAAGAACAAATGTTCTGATTATGGTTGTGTATCTCTATAGTTATAGGTTTTGAGATAACAACCATTTGGTTTGGGGTTTTGTTTGTGTTGGATGGCATGGCAGATATTATTTTTTTCTGAGGCTTCAAACTTTTTTTTCAGTTAAAAACAGAAAATTATTTGTCCTATATCATTAATTAAAATAAATAATCTGTCCTTTCTTACTGAAATGAACACTTAAATAAAACAATCTGTGTTTTTTTTTTAACATTTCCCATATGGTTTAAGAAATAAAGAAACAAACAGTTTAACTTATGTCAAAAGTAATACTTTAAATAAAAAAAAAAATAATGATAAAAACTTGACAAACGTGCAAGATGAGTTGTAGGTAAAACAAATGATTGCGTAGTACGAATAATTTCTGGATTGAACTGTCCTAAATCTGCAACACCGGAAAAAGCACGAAATTTCTGCGTTATCGGGGCTATTGTATTTTTATAAAGAAGAAAAGGCGGGTTGCATAAAGAATTTATTCTCGCAATGTCTGAACTTGAAGAAGGAGAAATAACAGACTCTGACAATGACAATGAATCCCAACCAAAGGTGATTTATTTATTTTGGTATTCATATATTTTAGTAAATGTTTACCACAAGGCTCGATATTTTGTCAATCTAATCACTAATATACAGGTATGGTATAATCGCTTTACTTAGCTACGTAGCTTAAATTACCAACATAGCTTTATTTACCTACCTGAAGTAGCTTTAATTAGCTACCAAATCAGACTTATTTCTTGAATTATCATTTTCTCTGGATGTGCAGAAAACCACACTTTGATGCAGTTTAATTTTAAACTTTAAACTCATCTGAAAATGGTTCATGAAACATGTTGAAGATGTGTCTTTTTCTGCACAATTGCCATCAAAGTCCGAAAGTTTTGAGGCTATATTCAACAGTTAATGTGTCATTGTGTGACCAAACATTTACTTCAGTTCTTGAGTGAATTAACAGACGACCAGTACTGGATTAGTACAGTAGTACATTAGACCAGTACAGTATACCCTCCCACTTTTCAAGCGGAGGGTATAATAATCCCATTGTGCACCTTGTATTTTACTTTTTGATCTGGCACTTATTTTGGGTCTCCCAGAGAAAAACATGGAGTTTGCCACTATACTCATATGGGAGGTGGGGGTATCATTTAGTGAGCTTAGTGCTCACAGCACCTCTTTTTTTTGTTTATTCATTTACATCTGTCAAAATGCAATGTGTATGGAATATTGATACATAAATAAAGTTAGAGTGTGGCTGAGATCAAATCAGATGAAAACTTCATCAATGACCATGTTGTCTCAAAAACAATATATTTAAACATTTTTTTGAATACTTTCAGAAAGATGAAAATAAAACTTCATTACCAACATCCACATCAAGTCATAACATGGTGGTCCCTGCTGTGAGTTACAGATCTAGTAAACCTCATCCTGAGGACAGTGAGGATTCAGACAGCTCCTCGTACAGTGATGAGGACACGCCGCTGTGGAGATGCAAGAAAGCTAAATATTTCTCCTCTAGCAGACATGATGAGAAGAGCATGGTGACAGAACTACCAGAGGAGATCAAATCTCCTATACGCAAAAACGACAGACCTGCAAGTAGAAATGTAAATCCCCAAACAGCCAAAAGGAAAATAAACAATATCTGGGGCTCTGTCCTGACTGAGCAGAGTCTTACACAAGACTTAAAAGATGTGGGAGTTAAAACTTTAACATGTGATGATAGCCGCAATGTTGAAAAGTATGACTTTACACTGAAGTATAATGACACTAGGCCAGATTTGGCCAATGAATTAAGTGACAATGAAAGCCATGATCCATTCAATAAGGTGGTAGATCTACCAGAGATGGATGCTAACTCCAGCAGAAAACGAAAACGAACTCGCAAAGAAAGACGCCCTGTGAAAGAGAGAGTAAAAATGCACGATGATAGAGACTTTGAAGAGCCTCTTCCAGACTTAGAGGCAGACAAAATTGTGAAAATGATCACCAGAAAACTGAATGAACCTAAGGTGTACCTCATAGGTTTGTATACATACATGCTATTGTGTGGTGCAAGAAAATCTCTGAAGTCATTATCATTAATTTTGGTTTTCAGTCTATGCGAAAGTCACCGGACCGTCGGTTTTTACCGGCAAAATTTAGGTCGGGTCGGTAAAAAGTTTCAGTATACAGGACCAAATGTCCGATAAAAAAATTAGGCCAAATAAATCTAAATTAAGAGGTAAACATGGTCAAATTCCCCACAAATATCCTTTATTTGACCAATTTAGTAGTAATACCTGACTAATTTTTATGTATTACAACCCTGTCATGATCGTTTTTATTCTAATTTCGAATTTCCTCTGTCAATGATTAGAGATCTTTAGATAGCTCATACGTAGGTTTGGTTGGGAAAATATTTAGATAGCTCATACGTAGATTCGATTGGGAAATTATTTTCAAATGATCATTGAACTTGAGTAACCATAATTAATTGTTTCAGGAAAAAATAAATATGCATTGAAAGTGCATATTAAATTTCATAAAATCTTTGATACAGTGTTTGTTGTATAAGTCAAATATAAAGAAAAAAATGCATGCAATTGTATAAATAGATACCTTTTACAAAGAAAAATTATATAATATTTAACTTGTCTATTTCACTCTGAATTTATTTAAGGTTAAATATCACAGTGTGAATTAACCCCATCCCACCCACCCTCTCAATATCAGTATCATAATGATGTATGGATTTAAAGGGGGGAAAAAGTCGGTCTGGTAAAAAATGGTTTGGTCTGGTAAAAATTTTATTTTTACCAGACATTTTTTCCTGTAAAAATTTTAAACTTTCGCGTAGACTGGGTTTTCTTCAATCTCCAGTAAGTTAAACAGTTTATATTATATGCATTTTTATACCCCACACAACAAGTTGCGTGAGGTATAATGTTTTTGACCCGTCCGTCAGTCAGAGTGTCAGTCAGTCAGTCCGTCAGTCCTGTTTTTTTGTCAGCGCAACTCCTCATAAACCGCTACACAGAATTTCATCAAACTTAGCAGATATTTAGGACACAATGTGTAGATGTGCATATTACCAGGAAATTCTGATTCCTTTATTTTTTCTTGGAATTTCTACATTTTTCAACTTAGATTTTTGGCCATACCTTGAATATAGATATGAACATTTTGGCATCGCAATTCCTCATAAACCGCTGCACAGAATTTCATCAAACTTTGCAGATATTTAGGACACAATGTGTAGATGTGCATATTACAGAGAGACCAGTTTGACAGCGCAACTCCTCATAAACCGCTACACAGAATTTCATCAAACTTTGCAGATATTTAGGACACAATGTGTAGATTTGCATATTACCAAGAAATTTTGATTCTTTTTTTCCCCAGGGATATTCATCTCCTTGAGTTTTGGGAGAGCGTGGGGTATGTGTGCTTGCATGGTCACTTTTTCTTTCATTTAGCATACAGTGTTAAATGAAATTTTTAATGCTAGAAAAATTCTGTAGAGGAAATGAGAATGAAAATTATTCATACAGAAAACATTGATAATTTGACTATTATTAACATATACCATTAACATTATTTAAACAGAGAGAATATACAGAATAATAGGCAAAGAGAAAACCTTGGACTTGTTTTACAAAACACAGGACATAGAAGAGGCTGGTGGATTACTTATACAGGTAGACATTACCAATATACTCAGATCAATTTTTAGGTCAACTGAATAAACTCAGGTGACCTATTGCTATCCTTTTTCGTCTGTCGGCGTTTGTCATGCGCTGTGCATTAACATTAGGACATTTTCAGCTTCCTCTCTGAATCCGCTTAACCAATTTTGGCATATAGTATCTGTGGGTGAAGGGGAACCAGAATTGTGAATTTCATGGTCCCTTCATCTCCTGGGGAATGGGGGCAAAACCACTAAAATTAATGCAATCTTTAAAAATCTTCTTTACTCCTGGACATCAAGCAGTCATACTGTTGGCATGATTGTAATCAGCATTTAGTTCTCTACCAAAATTATGAATTTATGGCCCCAGAGACAGGGGTTCTAGTCCTAGGGCAGGGCTAAATAGATTATACATGTATTGTGAAAATGCATGGATTCTTTGAAAATCTTTTCCTTTGCTCCTGGGTATTATGCCAATGATCTAAGTACATATTTATGATGAAGAAAGCTGTCTCTTACAAAATGGTTAATTTCAGGGCCCCTGGGTCAGGGGTACTTGGAGGGGGATACATAGTCTGAAAATAAATTGATTTTTTGAAATCTGCTCTTTGGTATTAATCAACAATTTATGATGAAATAAAATTTATGATAAAATTTCTAAAATTTTTTAAATATGTGGCCCCAGGGTCAGTGGTTCCTGTGGGATGGGGTGCACAACTGGTTATAAAGTGGCAATGCATCTTCTCTTTGTTACTCTGATCTACCTCTTGGTATTAACTATTAAGTAACCAAAGTAAGCATGTTCTGTTTATAGTTATTATGATAAGCAATGGTGCCTTTTTCAAAATATTGAATTTCATGGCCTATGGTTTAAAACATGAATCAAATTCAATTGTTGGGAAGTTGTTACATGATACTCAGGTGACCTATAAGGCCCATGGGCCTCTTGTATCAGTTACCCAGTAATATTTGTTAAAAATGTACATATAAGGAGGCAATGCGTAGTTTTCTCCACCTGTTGACTGTTTCTACCTATTAATATTATTAATCAAACTACTATATTTACTTTGATTCAGGGTCATATCTCCGATGACAAGGCTGTAGGGCAACTAAATATAGCCTGTTGAAATTAATAGAAATAAAAGTAATATTTTATGCTTTATATAAAGCTTTTAAAAAAAAATCAGGTTTTTTATGCTATCTTGCAGACATTTTTCTACAGAAATTGTTTTAAAAAATTGCAGAATTCTGTCCCTGTTTTTGCAGTTTTAAATTCTCAATATATCTTGATATACATGTATTTGAATTTTTAAAATCCTCATTTTAAGTAAAGTTATTGTTTAAACTTAAATGAAATATGACAGAGGTCCGTAAACTTTTTGAACAGCCCTCATGCATGTACAGGAAATATTTCAGCACTGTATTTTTTTTTGTCTTGCTTAAAGAATAAAACAAGAAGACGTTCCCCTGGAGGTGTCTTCATTCATCTGCTGAAATCCGACAAAAGCGTTTCACCTGAACAGGTGGATGAAATTTTTGCCAAGGAAGAGCAGGAGTTTATACAATCACTTGAAGAGAGAAAACAGAAGAGAAAAGAACTAAAACAAAGGTAAAATTTTTCTTTGCTCATCAAGGTCATGAAGTGACCATGTAGTACCCTGGGTAATCATCATTTCTGAATTTGATATCAGTAACATAATGTCATTTCTTTTATACCGGGTATTATCCGGAGCAGTGTGATTTCAGTAACATAATGTCATTTCTCTTATATTATCAGGAGGAATGCAATATCAGTAACATGCAATTTCTCTGTCATATGAGGAATGTAATATCAGGAACAAAATGTCATTTCTCTATGTTATCAGGAGGAATGTAATATCAGTAACATAATGCTATCAGGAGGAACGTAATAACAGTAGAATATATCGGTAACATTACATGTATGTCATTTCTGTTGTTATGATGAGAATGTAATATCAGTAAGTCTACCCAACACAATGAAATTTCTCTATGTTATCAGGAGAAATATAATATTAGTAATATAATGTCACTTCTCTATGGTATCAGGAGGAATGTAATATTAGTAACATAATGTCATTTCTCTATGATTATCAGATATAATGAGGAATGTTATATTAGTAACATAATGTCATTTCTCTATGACATCAGGAGGAATGCAATATCAATAACAATGTAATTTTTGTGTTATCAGGAGGAAGGAGAGGAGAAAGCTAACCAGATTACTTCCACAGTCCAAGTTAATGCAGAAGTCGGGGGTATCAAAAGTCAAAGGGGATCTCAATAGTGAGAAAAAGCCTGAAGTTACCATGGAAATGACAGACAGTGAAAATGAAAGCTTACACAGTGAGCCAGAGGATGGTCTCCATGTTCTGGATGTGGATGATAAGGATGTTGTTGATATAGACATTGGAGTGGATGAGACTATTGACTAATCTTGGGTGAAATATTTGACTGTACCCTTTTGTTTTGAAGGAACTTCATTGTCATCTGGTAATGGCTATAGACATGGTGATAAGTGAATCATGGTTTGCCAGTGAATCATGATTACTGTAAATATACACAGGAAAAGGCAGGCCTGCTTCTATTGGAACTTTGAAAGTCTATTTTGTTGTTCAATCTTGCCTAGCTTACAGCAAGTTCTGTTAACAGACTGATTCTGGCGAGTAAAATTAACGTTCGTGGAGGATCAAACTTATGTTTATAAATTAAACATTTTTAAGAGTGTTTTGTTATCAATGTTCCTGATTATTGTAGCTTACACAGGCAAACCAAAAAACTGTTTTGACTTATTTTTCCAAGTGAGAGATATGTTAACAAATTTACAAAGTAAAAAAAAACATATGCTTTGTATATCATTTTACCTCTGAAACATGAGTTAAAGGGTTGGATATTTTCAAACATCTGTTATTGTAAAAGACATTGTATTAATTTGTTCTTTTGTACCATAAAATGTCTTCTTTTTGGAAAACTGTTAAGCCAAACGTGTTTTTTTTTTTCGTCAACTTCATAACTACAGTTTACAAGGGTGTATCTTGCAGGCTAAATCAATCAGGAGCATTCAATTAAAAAAATTTGGGCACTGTTAAATCTGTTTCTATCTACAATAATTTGTCTTTTGTGGAACCTTAATAACTGCATTATAATCAAATTATTATACAGTTGAAAGAAAATGCACTATTGTTTTATTATTTTGTCAATACTGTTGAAACAAAAATGTACGGTATAAAACATTAAATAAATTCGTAATATGTTATGATATTAATAAGATCTTCCTGAACCTCTAAAAGAAAAAAACTGATTTGATTTTTATTAAAACATTTTGCTTGTATTAAAATTCATTTCTTAAATTAATCACTTCAGAATTCATTACCTCGGGTGATCATGTATTTAACACAATCTTACGTTATTTGATATAATTTGATTTTGTTTGTATTCTTGCCTCTCATTGGTTGATTTCCAAAAAGGAACGCAAATTATTTTCCATAATCTGGTTAGGTATGGGGACACACCCCCTTGACGACAAGCTTAATTATCTTATCCATGCAATCCCCTCATTCCAGATTTAATAAACATGATAAATGTACCTTAAAATTCAAACAGTAACTCGATGTTACCTCATGTAAACAAACATCATGGCTGCTAGATCTATGTATCAGTTATTACCTCCCCTAGCTTCCAATCACTTCCGTTACTAAGGTTGTATTATTGCGCAGTAAATTTGAACTCATAAAAAGCAACACAATTTTACATCCAAAGTTGTTTAATTATTTAAAAAAAAAATTATAAGAATGACTCTAATTCTTGGTCAAATTATCGAGTATATTCTGGTTTGGGTCAGTTTACACTTTTTTTATAATCTGGCTTCGCGGATTATAAAGCGTAAACTGACCCAAACCAGATTATACTCGATAAATTGGCCAAGAATTAGAGTCATTCCTTAAATACAATTCGTAATGGCAATCTCTAAATTTGTTACAATGAAGTGCATTGAAGTGGTAAAATTTTTCATTTGAATGGATGTTTGGGTGTTTCTTTTCGAACATCAATTGTAACATAATGACATGCCATTTCTTTAGAAATGAGAAAGAAATATTCGTGGTAATGCTTTTAGACATCCAACTCTTTGTGACTAGCAACAAGAGATACAATGAAATGGTGATTTTGATAATAATAGTTAGAAGAGAGAGTAAGAGACTCCGCATCTGTAAAACATGTATAGCAATGAGGATGTACATAATAATTATCAATTTATTATGTTCACTGGAGTAACCACAACACGTGTATTGGCTGAACACGTGTTTACTCGGAGTTTATGTAGACCAATTTGATTGGCTATTCTATTTATGGAATACATGTTCTACAGATATTTCAATAAACATTTTTCTTCCTAAAGAAATGGGTGTGTCAATATATAACAATCAACATTCTTAAGATGGTGCAAAACGTCCCATTCAAACGGAAAAAAATTACCACTTCGATGCACATCATTGTATGTGTAAAATGTATAATATCCTTGTGGTAAACTGCTTGATTTTATTATGCTGAAAAGTTCATGCTTTATTTGGTCATAAATGAAAAATTCAAAGACAACAGATACAAAATTTTATGTGCATATACATATACTGTCTGTGTTCTTAAAAAAGCAGTTTTTTTAATTTTAATAGTAACTAAATTTGGTGAACAACAATGTGCTAATTCATGAATAACGATAAGTGATCATTAATAAATACAAGATATGGCACAGACATGTGTAGAGCTAATTCATGATTACGTCAAAGTCTCCATATCCGTTGATTGTGCTATGTTTCCATTTCTATTTGTTTTCTCTCTGACAACTCTTTAAAAGATAGGTGAGTTGATTTCTTGATAATTCAATTGGAATGTAAATTTCACTAAAGTAAAAATTCAGGAGATAAGAAGGCCTAACATGCATGAAGATCTCTTGTGCATCTGTCTGTGTCTGACATTAGTAGGCGGGGACTGTCATGGGAGGCTTCGTGTAATTTAAATCTATTAGACGACAATTTTTAAAATCTAAATTTACAATTCTATTTCACAGTGAAATGGAAATATAAGGAAACGCTGACTAGTTTGTTGGGTATGCCAGGGACATCAAAGATAGTTGGGAAGATGGGATAATTTATGCATAACGGGCCAAATTATGTACACCTAGGGTACCCAATTGATATCATATGCCAAAATTGGAAGAAATCAGATACAGTTGATATTGAGAAGAAACTGGACATTAGAATTTGAACAAGAGGCCCAGGGGCCACAGCGCTCACCTGAGCACATCGGCTAGGAAAAAGCACATATCAGATCAGAACTGACAGTTTACTGAGGTTGGGGGGGGAGACTTGAATTTTAACCCCGAAGGGGATCATGATTTGAACGAACTAGAATCTACATTACCTGAGGATGATTCCATATAAATATTACTAATCATGGCTTTGAAGTACTTGAAAAGAAGATTTTAAAAGGTTTCCCTATATATTCCTATGTAAAACTTTGGTCGGCCATTTTGGCCCCACCCTACCCCGGGGTTTGATGATATGAACAAACTTGAATCTACACTACCTGAAGATAATTTCACATGAGTTTCATCTTTCTTGGCCCAATGGTTCTTGAGAAGATTTTAAAAGATTTTTCCTATATACTCCTATGTAAAACTTTGATCGGCCGTTTTGGCCCCACCCTACCCCTGGGGGTCATGATGAGTGAACAAACTTGAATCTACACTACCTGAGGATGATTCCACATGAGTTTCATCTTTCCTGGCCCAGTGGTTCTTGAGAAGAAGATTTTTAAAGATTTTTCCTATATACTCCTATGTAAAACTTTGATCGGCCATTTTGGCCCCACCCTACCCCCGGGGGTCATGATTTGAACAAACTTGAATCTACACTACCTGAGGATGATTCCCTATGAGTTTCATGTTTCCTGGCCCAGCGGTTCTTGAGAAGAAGATTTTTTAAAAATGCCATTAATTTTTAACAAATTCATGATTATCTCCCCTTGGAAGAGGGCGTGGCCCTTCATTTAAACAAACTTGAATCCCCTTTACCCAAGGATACTTTGTAGCAAGTTTGGTTGAAATTGGCCCAGTGGTTCTTGAGGAGAAGATGAAAATGTGAAAAGTTTATGACAACGACAACAACGACGACAGACGACGGACAAATTTTGATCAGAAAAGCTCACTTGAGCCTTCGGCTCAGGTGAGCTAATAATGATGATGGAAAAAAACATAGATAGCAAAAATCACCATGAGTGACTCAAGTATACTAAAAATATTACAACTATGAAAAGCAAAAGAACATTTCATATAATTTATTACACATTTTTCATAACAAAACTTTTGTACAGCTGTCCAGCAGTAAGAGTGAGCAGGATTATCTCCAATCATTGGCCAAAATACATGCAGGATGACCCCGGAAGGACATACCGCCAATGTCAACTGTGGTTTACAAACTGGGAGAATAAACATTTAAGACAATGTATCAGTTTAAAAGCTTACTTACATATACAGAGGTAATTCTTTCATATTAAATTATTTCAGTAATTAAATGCCCTATTAAGAGTGAAAGCAATCAATATTGTAGAGGCACTTCACTAATTGTCCATACACATAATAATTGCAGCTGCTTGTACTAAGAATTCTTAACTAGAAAAAAGTTTACAATATGGATATATGTATCTGTGTCTTGAGGAGTTAGTTTCTTGTTAAATTCTGCACATCTTCACTGAAGGATAGAGGTGTAAATTTGAAGAAAATCGGTCAAGCCTCATTATAACATAGAAATGTTTTTTTAATATCTAATTGAAACGCAATAATTCTAAATAAAATGCAAATATCAATTTATCTACAGGGAGTATAACATTACATATGATGATATTGATAACAACTAACTACACATACATAACCCATACCCTCAGAGTACGTTTCTCATTGTCCCCTGGATATCATAGGGATCACGTTTTTTTCAGATCTCGAAAATGAAATCCCATTCTCTTTGACCTTGGAAATTTGACCTTAGCAATACACTCCCAAATACTGAATTGGTAGGGGTCCTAGAACTCCTCACCATTCTTAATTTCCATCCTCCATCTACCCTTGTTGAACTACTAGTACAAAAATAAACAAATAATAATACGTAAACCGGTTTTAAAAAAACACACTGACACAGTCTAAAAGTATAATTTTCTTGATAAAAATTCAGTATAAGACTATTGCTAACATTCAAATTGTAAGATTGTTTGATAGTGATGGACTTTAAGACAACCTATTTAACTTTGACCCCCTAGATGGACGGATGATTGGATGGAATCGACCAAGATACAGAAGTCCAAGACAGAAAAGAATCACTGGTCCTACATTATATCTAATCCCCCAATCCAAGTCAGGTTGTCTGGAATCCCCCTCCTAGTCCTATGCTGTAGAAATGTTTGCCCAGGCAGTGAGGTAATTATGTTAACAAAGAAGTGTGTAAGAATATAGTGGAATCCATATCCTTACAGTTCAAATTCTATAGTACCTGAAGGAAATTCCTGGCGATTTCCAAACTTTCAGCCGCAAAAAAAAAGATAAATACAAGAGTAATGTATGCATATAGAATAAATTAGACATAACATTTCTAAGGTACACAATAAGTGATATTTTTCGACAAGAACAATAGAGATAATGAACTACATTAATCTGGTTATATAACTTGACAGACATAAGGTAGTTACAATACTTGACACCTAGGGACATTCATTCTATGCTCACTATACATGACAGCGAGGAAAACATTCTCACATTAAAAAAAAAAAAAAAAACAGTTTGAGCATATTCAAATGCTAGTCACTTCTAAGTGGGCAATAAGGTATCACTTTAATAAATTGAGGTACAACATTTTCTATTTTGGCACCCACCAGTGGGTAGAGTAATACATGTGAGCTTTTATAATCTATTGGAATATATCATTTTTCTTTTTTGGCAAATGCATTTTCACAACAGAATTTGTAACTTATATCACACGTCTGCCATTTTTTCATTAATCACAAATATAAAATCACAGAACAACAATCTATCACATTAATTAAGCAAACAAATAAAGGGGGGAATGACTAGATCTAAAGCTCACTTTCATTTTGTAAGAAGGCAATATTTAAAACAGTTACACCGTCAGTTCCTGAATTGTTTATGCATGAATTTTAACTTTCTTGGCTTTTTTAATAAACAGAGAAAAATTAAATATTTTCTTTGGTTGTATTCTTTCCTTGAAATAAGAAT